AAAAACGATTTCTCTTTAACATTGAATTTAAAGCACTGTTGCATACCCATATATAACAGACTTCATATTTATTCACAGCTTATTGTCAAAATGCTTTTTCTTCTTTTATTTTATCACATCACAACATATAATCTCTGCTTATAAACGCTTTAACTTATTTTTAATCATATAAAAAACAATTTAAATGAAGATCTTGGGTGTTGCTGGGTGGATGTGGGTGTGAGTATGGCATGAGACAAGAATAACTTATATACCAACATCCACACCCTTCTAGAAAATATGTACTGATACATCAATGTACTGTAGTTTTAGATATTTTATCTATGAACATTTTCTCAATATAATATTTATTTATTTATTTGCAATTCGATTACAATAGAATTCAAAAACAATTCACTCTAGATTAGCTGATTGTTTTCAATAAATTTGCGCAAGATTTTCAAAGTTTACATACTCAACAAACTTGATGATTATATTGTAACATTCTAAATAGTTCATAAATGATCATTCTAAAATAGTAACATTAAATAAAACTTAATAACTGGATGTCTCAGCCCGAATGCGTCTTAGGCAACTCGTATTTTAAGTTAGCTAATTTATCAGTGAGAGTGATATTTAAATCTGAATATAGTCAATCTTCCGAACTTACACCACACACCCTTGTGGTGCACGTTAAATACAAATAGAATTAAAACAAAACCTTCGCAGTATTTCAGATTTCTTACATCTTACATTCAACTTGAAAAGTTCTAGGCATAGCAAAAATAAAGATGTCTTTCCTTTATGTGTAGTTTAATTTTCTCGATTGATTCTGCTAATTCGTGGTAGCAGTTGATCATCTCGATAGAAACAATCATTTTCAAGTTCATTTTGAGGTGCATTGACAACATATAAGATTGAATCAACACCGAGTTTTGGATGGCGAGTACCGGGGGCATTCTGATTTATGTCCGTAATACAGAATCCTGGACATACGGAAAGAATAAGTATATGTTTAGCACTAGACTATTGACGCGCTTTTGTATGATATGAGCTCTACTCGTTCTTTTCGTCTACATGAAAAACATTTAATTGTTGTTATGAATCAATAGATCCTTGTGTTTTTTTCAATTATTTCTATAATGCTTTGAAATCATTCAAATTCAGAACAATTAATTTAAGATTTTAGTTTTTAAAACAATATAACCAGAAACGGCACCGATACCGAAATTTTTGTATCTTGATATCGGAATCAGATCGAAATAAGAGCTGACTTTTTAAGTATCACATCGGACTTGTATAGTTTAGATTTTATAAGCATCGCAATCGGAATCAGACTTGTCGATTCCCAATTCCGATGTGGTATCGCCCATGCCTATTAGAGGCCAATCTTTACCTGAGCATGATCATTAATCAACTAGTATCTATTTTTCAAGTTCCAGTAGAAAATAAAGTGGAATAACTTAAAAACTATTTAATAAAATTTTTGTATATTTTTTCTTTCCTTAGTTATGTATTAGTTTTTTACTTCTTCGATTTTTTCAAAATTTAATAGAACATACCAAAAACTTCTAGTCTATTTTTGGATATTATTCAATCTACTGAACAATCTGTATTCATTCCGAAAAGAAAAGAATGCGGCTGAGCAGAGATCTGGTTAATAAAATGGAATTTGACAAAAACTTGCCAATACTCAATAATCGATAGTATTCATAAGAGAATAGCTTAATGTTTCTTGAAACAATGAAGGAAAGAAAATGAATTGATAAATAATAGAAATCAATACGAATACACAATCAGAATAAAAAATTTGATTTGATATTGAGAATGAAACTATGGTATATAGAAGATAATACATGTGATATGAAACATCATCATAGCTACTATGAATTTCATATTTGACTTTTGAATTACTTGTAGTATTTGATAACATTTTCACTAAATTCAAACGTGTGGATGTGGACGAAGATGCAGAATTCTTCTCGAACTCGTACTCTTTCAGCAAGTCAATCACATCTCATTTACATCTATTACATTCACTTATAATCACTAAACAATGGTCTATCTAATTTCAATTTGAATTGTGAAAAAGAGTGTTCAATTTCAAACTGAAAGACGATTATAAGGGATCTTAGATGTTGCTACTAGCCATATCATTATACATCGTCTATATCCTAGTTTTTTCAAAGATGGGGGGATGTGGATATGATTGTTCACTCTGACTACCTACACCCAAATAGTTGTCAAGTACGAATAGATTGTTTTCGTTTTCATCAACTAAAGATAAATTAGCTACAGTAAGCATTTAGTTTATTATTTAATGAATCGTTGATGATAATCTATGCTATCTTTCAGTTACATATTTCTTCTTTGGGTGAAATGCAGCTTAAAATTTATATTTTTTTTTCTATTAAATTTCTAATATTATATAAGAGAATGCATCCTATTCCGCGATGTTGAACATTGGAGGAATCAGTTCCGCACCGGAATCGATTCCGTCCGATTCCGGGAACTCGATCGACACACAACATAAGACACCCAGTCAAGATTGATCGAGTTCGACCGATTCCGGAATTGCACGGAATTCCCACCGATTCCGGAATTGCGGGAATTGGTTCCGATTCCGGAATTCCGTACCGGAATCACACCATCCACCTCACCCACAT